TATCTTAATATCAGTATGGTTGACTCCATAGTTCATCGCCTAATACCAGTATGGTGAGCAAACTATTTCAAACCTGGTTAAGACGGTTTGTAAAAGTTCTTGTTTTAATCCTGTTGTTTCGTGTGTACATACTATCAAGATATACACAGTTCTGAATGGATTTCCAGATGACAGTTTGTAATGTTAATTAATATTTCTAAATAAATTAATTTACTCAAATTAAGTAACTAATAACTCCGCCTGTAGCTCTTACAGAGTTACTGCCGGTACCAAGCCTGAGTAAAGGAGGAGGGTTGGGCATGGGGTTAGCGACCCCATCCCGTAGAAAACTAACAAGCTATAAAAACGCTAACCAGAAAAACAATTCAAATCATTTAAACTCTGCCCTGGGAGTTGAAGGAATTATTAAGACGTCTCATGATGAAGGCCGAAATTCTTCAGAAGTCACGAGACCGATGCACCTTCTAACAACCAGAGCAACACTCTTTATAGGTACATGGAACGTCCGGACAATGTGGGAGACAAGAAAGACCAGCCAAATAGCAATGGAAATGAGGAGATACAACTTGGCAGTACTTGAAATCAACGAAACCCATTAGACATAAGCTGGACAACAAAGGCTAGATACGGGAGAGATGCTACTGTACTCCGGTCACGAAGAGGAAATGCTCCACACTCAGGGAGTTGCTCTAATGATGTTCAAAGAATCACGGAATGCACTTGTGGGATGGGAATTTCATGAATCCAGAATCATCAAAGCATCACTCAAAACAAAAAAGGAGGGAATCACAATGAATGTTATCCAGTGTAATGCACCCACCCACAATAAAGATCAGTTCTATGAAAGGCTGCAATCAATTATAGAGAAGTGCTCACGAAAGAACCTCACCATCCTTATGGGAGATCTAAATGCTAAAGGTGGAGTGGACAACACAGGATATGAAGATATAATTGGACGACATGGACTAGGAGAGAGAAATGAAAATGGGGAGAAACATGCAAACCTATGTGCATTCAACAAATTGGTTATAGGCGGCACAATATTCCCACACAAACGCATACACAAAGCTACATGGATCTCACCCGACCACACCACACAGAACCAGATAGATCACATCTGTATCAACAAAAAATTCCGAAGATCAATAGATGTTAGAACCCGGAGAGGAGCTGACATAGCTTCAGATCACCACCTGGTTGTGGCTAAGATGAGACTGAAGCTAAAGAAACACTGGACAACTGGACAAACAACACTACAAAGGGAAGGACAAGAAACTACTTTGGAAAACAACTGGAAAGGGATCAAAGAAGCACTAACTTCGACGTGTCAGGAGGTTCTGGGTCGCAACAAGCATCATCATAAGGAATGGATCTCTATGGGAACCCTGGAAAAAATTCAAGAAAGGAAGAACAAGAAACTAGCAATTAACAACAGCCGAACACGAGCAGAGAAAGTCAAAGCACAAGCAGACTACGCAGAGGCAAACAGGGAAGTGAAGAAAAGCATTAAAGCCGACAAACAGAAATACATGGGAGAACTAGCAACGATGGCGGAAAAAGCTGTAAGAGAAGGGAATATGAAACAACTATATGATACAACGAAGAAATTGGCAGAGAGATATATCAAACCAGCGAGACCAGTCAAGGACAAAGAAGGAAAGACAATCACGGAGATTCAAGTTCAGAGGAAATGATGGGCAGAATACTTCGAGGAACTGCTGAATAGACCAGCTGCATTGAGTCCACCGGACATCGAAACAGCACCTACAAACCTACCTATAGATGTCACTCCGCCAACGGTCGAAGAAATCAAGATGGCCATCAGACAAATCAAGATTGGGAAAGCAACAGGACCTGACATTATACCACCTGAAGCACTGAAGTCAGACATTGAAGTAACTCCAAACATGCTTCACATTCTATTCAAGATTTGGAAAGAGGAACAAGTGCCAACAGACTGGAAAGAAGGATACCTCATCAACATACCAAAGGAAGGAGATCTGAGCAAATGTGAGAATTTCAGAGGCATCATACTAGTCAGTACCAGGAAAAGTCTTCAACGGAGTGTTGCTGAACAGAATGAAAGGTGCAGTAGACGCTCAATCTCGAAATCAACAGGATGGATTCCGAAAGGATCGGTCGCGCACAGACCAAATTGCGACAATACGGATCATCGTTGAACAATTAGTTGAGTAGAATTCGTTACTAAACATCAACTTCATCGACTATGAGAAGGCGTTTGATAGTGTGGATGGGAGAACATTATGGAAACTTATTCGACATTATGAAGTTTTTGAGTAGATTGTTAACACTATCCAGGACTCATACGATGTACTACAGTGCGAAATGATGCATGGAGGACTACTGATAGACGAATTACAAGTAAAGAGCGGAGTCACACAAGGCTCCTTACCCCCCCCTTCCTCCTTCTTCTGAGGATTGACGCAAAATACTCAACATTCACTGGCCGGATACTATCAGCAACAGCTTTTTATGGGAGAGGACAAACCAGCTTCCAGATGAACAGGAAATTAGGAAAAGACGTTGGAACTGGATAGGACATACATTGAGGAGATCACTAAACTGCACCACGAGGCAAGCCCTTACTTGGAATCCGGAAGGGAAGCGGAAAAGAGGAAGGCCAAAGAACACGTTACGCCGGGAAATAGAAGCAGATAAAAAAAGGATGGATAACAACTGGAAGGGATTTCCCAGGACAAGGTTGGATGGAGAATGCTGGTAACAGGCGTAAGTATACTTCTTAGTTTGTTGTGCTTATGCACGTATATTTATCCTTAATTACAAGATGTATGTTAATAATAGTATATTGGTGTTAGCAACTAGAACAAGCGCACTTATTGGGGGAACTATCTATATCTATTTCCACCAGTCAAGTGATGAATATCAGGCAAGCATAAATGAACGACTTGTGGTTTGGACACTATCGTGTTATGCTGCCTTTAGTTGATTTAAGCTTATTACGGTCCCAACAGCCTTGACCAGAATTAAAGTGTACACTTCTAGTGTCCAATTTAGGCTGTTGCTGGATCAGTCAGTCAGTCAGTCACAACGTAGAACTTCGTACGTACGTACATCAGTTCGAGTTGCCATACCACATTAGCACAGAGATGCAGTTGTCGATTCAAATCCCATAGTGGTAGAAGTAGTAGGAGTATAATCAGAAATCCAAAAGATTAGGGTTTGAAGAAATTATTGAAGGAGTATAGTACAGTGAAATAAATTCGGAAAGAGAAAAACAAAGACATGAGGAATTCAGAAGATTAGAATTTGGTAGAACACAAAGAGTGGATGCATCTTCGCCATTGCAAACGATTTTGAGCCATGTCATTCAAGGTCTCTAACCACCGGTTGCTGTCATCTCGCTGTTGCTGGATGGTCATCATAAAGTTGTAGATGGGTGACTGAGTATTTCATGAGAGTTCCTTTCTTAATTTTCCTCAAATACTGCAAGTAACTTGGTCGACTTACACCTGTGCTAGATCCATTTTTTATAATTAGCTGATATGCTAGGAAATTACTGCTAAGTGCACTACTTCCACAACTGATTTTGGGTGTAGCTGAGACCTTTAGGACCGTTGCTGGATGGTGTTTTTATGGGATATGTTGAAAATCTAGTTGACAACTCAATTCAAAAGATGTCTGCATAAACGATACGTTGTGACTGACTGACGCTGATGACATCACAATTATAGAGGATAAATGTGAACCGCTTGTTAAAAGAACCCAACACAAGTCAAAAGCACATTCCTCCTACATGTGAAGAGAAGAACAACCAACTTCCTCTCCTAGACATATTGATTAGTACTTTATTTATTTTCTTTCTTTGTTACAGCTTACCTTAACCTATCTACTTGACCTTTCAATTTCCATATAAAAAGGTCTTAACAAGTATATGTGATCAGATTGTTCGAAATTTATTGCGCGAATATATCACACAATTCTGATAAACTTCGTCATATTGCATTATTGAAATTTATCAAAGGGACCAATCGTTTTAAATATTTTATTAGTGACTATAAAGAGATGGCTATCACTATATCCCCAAAGTGTTCACCTTATTTTCACTCATCTTTGCAAGCATCCATGGTAGACAATACGTTACAATTACTTTGATTGAGCTTAAAAGCACAAAAAGTTTATCTTTATGAATCAACTACTTTTTTTTAAAAAAACGCAGGGGCAGAACGGGGATGTAACCAACCAAGTTTAGACAAATTGGAGAATAAAATGGCACAGTTAGAGCAAGATATAGTATCGGGGCCTGATGGCTGTTTGGAACCATTTTCTAAAAACCGTGCTGATTTTGTACCCAGTAGTGAAGTAAAGAGCAAGACCATAATTTATAGATGAACCAATCAGATTCAAGGCAACAGATCTTGGGTTTTTGTGTGAAATTCGTCCATCCATTTGCCTAAATAGCATTTCGGCATTATAGCTTATGATGTAAACCCTAAATCTAATGTACAAGTGTAAATCATACTGCTAATTTATAACCCTCATTTAACCCTAGTAAGTAGGTGGGTATTCTCAAGGTTACTTAGGTGTCGTTCTAAGGTCGTCCATAAATGACAGTCTCACCAATATTATTTCAAAAAGACGTTGAAAAAATATTAGCGTAATCTACATGAACACCTGATTGTTGAAGTAATAGTGATTGTGCTGAACACACATTTTTATCTCTCTTTTGAAAAATGACAATTATTTATAAATATTAAATCTGATAAGAAAGTTAGGGGCGGTCAAACAAAACGTGGCATCAGTCCCTAGTCTGAGCCATGTTGATAGATGCAGACTACTTGGTTGGGTCCGCGCGACTATCATAACCAATTGTTGGAGACTCTGGGTGACATGGCCCAGAATCGATCACTATGGCGTAGGTGTATACACTCTTTGTCCGCCCTTAAACTGTGAGATTAAAATTGTCTTATGACTGAGCAAATTACAAGTGATTTATGTAAACATTTAACGGAAATAAATGTCAAGTCAAAACTTTATATTAACAAAATGAAAAATAACATATAAAATAAACATACAAGTATCGTTAGAACTAAACACAATTTACAAAATACTTAAATAGTATTATGGATTGGTTTGTACTAAGTTTTCGTCTACTGCTGATTACCGCCTCCAACATTTCCTCCAGCTGCATTAGGATCTTGCATACTGGAGAACAGAATAAATAAGAAAACTGCTGGAATAATGTAGGTCCACTAAAATCAATGAAAAAATAGGAAGCATTATAAGTTAATTACTAATCAATCATTTAGCTAAATGAAAAGATGAAACATCACTTAAATGAATAATACAAATATCTCGATTCCAGTATTAAATTTATAACTGTTTTAAACTAAAAGTTCGATGATATAGCTGAGTGGAATGGTTATCAATAATCTAATCTCTGAATGACATACAGATTACCGAGTTAATGGAGAATATCGTCATTTGAATACAAAGCTTGTATACGGCTTTTGAACATATGTTTGTAGTCATAGATTTAATCCTGCGGACTAGAGTTGTCACTGGACGTGTTGTGTTCAGCCGCTGCAGTCATGACTGAAAGATATTATACGTGATCTTGGCAAAACTACGGAGTTTTCGGGATAAAGCCATATGCTGCGTGACAGATCAGCTAAGGGAGTTTATTATTAGTATCTGTCTTCATATGGTTAATTTAATTGTAAACACCATGAACCCATAATTTGTGACGTCTTTGGTTGTGAGCACAGGTTAATAATGGTTGGGCAAGTGTAGTTCGTGTTATTTTTTATAGCTTGACTGGCAACTTCATTATCAAATATACACGGTCTGTAGTGAAAGCAACTAGCGCCTACTTGTAGAAGCAATGCACTAAAAAGACTATCCATTCTGTTAACTTGCGTCACGAGAACCAAAGAGAGCTTATAGGGTAGGAACAGTAAGTTTTAAAGCAGGTGTCTCCCACTTGGTAAGTTTCAATGAGACAGGCTATATCGATCGATAAAAACGTAGCAGTAAACGTTGTATTTGTACGTCGGGGTAAATTCTATTGTATGACTTGTACTTGGGACTTAATACACTAGGAAGCATTGAAATCGGATTTAATTTTTTTGAGTTACAGGAGACAGTTGAAGGTAAATAGTATCCTAATTATATTTAAAGTATGAATCTGAGTATATATAGAGTCAAACTAGAAAACATCCAAGCGCTTATTATAGGTTGAGATCTTGAAACTTTGTTGCAGGGCATCATAAACAATACCCACTATACAGGTGCAAGGCAGAAAAAGTTCAGGAGAAAAGTTAGCTAAGACGTGTGAAAACGAACGAAGTGTAAATAAGGTGAAATAAATTAAAGACTAGAAACGAAGTTATGTATAACAGTGAATTAATTCCCCCGAGAGTAACCTAGATAATGAGATTTGTTTTAAAACAATAAACAGTAAAGGTACTCACTACATCAAACCATATTTGCGACTAATGCCATCTTAGTGATCGAAATCCTTTAGTGTTTGAAAAAAATGAATACTGTGTTGTTTTCGAACTGATTTAATTCATCGATGCAAGTACAACTAATCACAAAATAAACTTGGCTATCCACTTATTTGTTTCTGTTATACTGAGCAACTGAGGATATTCTCTGAAAATTTAGGAATCAAAACCATATCGTCTACATCTGAAGATCTAATTCTCCTAACTAGGTGTGATCCACAAGGGTTTCTTACTAACAAACATGGTATGGGCATCTTATGTTGACTACATGGAGTTAGATCACTAGCGTTAAAAGCTTCAGAAAATATCCGCAATATGGTCTCTCACCATTACTACTGCAATGAAATATCGATTTCAACAGGCTACATTCTAATGAAAACAAAATTTATTGTGTAACTTTTGGTTAACAGTTCAAACACTTCTCATTATGAGACTTCACTTGGTCTCGCCTAAACAAAAGAATTCGCAACTGAGATCCAGTACGACCACTTACTATTGGAGTAGAAACTTTTTGGTCACTACAGTCAAGCCTATCGTTTATTATGACAATGAATTTGATATTCAACAGTTAACTCTGTCGAAGCTTATTTTCTCATTCACAGGATCGCAAAACTTTGACTACTGTCTATACAAGAACAAATGGTTTGACAGGTTGTCGAGTCCAACCATCGTGGAGAGTAGATAGAAGCTCAAGATGACTCTAATTACAGTGCACCTACGAAGACAGATAGGATCCTGTACTTGGTAGGGTGACAAGACGATATGCAGAATTTATGCGCGATATTTTGTGGAAAGTGAAAGGCTTTAGTTCCTTTTCCCTGAAACAAATGACAAAGAGCACCGTTAGAGGATCTAGTAACAGAGGATGTGCTAAACCCATTTCTGGAAATTCGGGTCAATAAAAAATATGCCCACACCAATACTTACATATTTAGCAAAGAAAGAACGATTGTCACTTTGCTCAGAACGAGCCATTTCTTCGCGTTGCTTCTCTAGTTTCTCTAGATACTTTGCAGTTTCCGGACTAAAAAGTAAGAATGGATATTATTAATACCTTGGTCCTAATTTCGGTTTCTGTACTGTTAAACTTATAGATAAATCTGGAAGGTCCAGAAAACTCTCAGAAATGTCATATGAGCAATCATACTTCGGAGTGCTCAAATGTATTGCAACTGGGTCCCCGGCGTCATTCACGCTAACTGTGAGCTTTAATCTCATCCTAGAGGCAATAATTTGACACTAACACGCTAGATCAGAAATTCCGTTACCGAACGAATCGAAGCTTCAATATATTCTTCGTTTTTAGCAGGCATACGAACGCTATACATGTACCCGGCTCTGGCAGACTCCTTGAAAGTTTATAAAAAGAAGCTACATACCTGCAGCTGCTGTTTTTCGTCGGTTGAAAATACATGACCCCTGGAAACTAAAGTTAGAACTCCAGACGATGATTTAATCGAAATTCCATCCATCTGACTGAAAACCCCATCTACTAAATCTAAATTAAGGTACAGAACCTACTCTCCCTGAACCTATGTTCAGGAGTGTAACCAGAGACATCTAAAGCCTTTTGAATTTAAAACTTAGTTATTATATCGTACTGAAACTGGCGACAATAAAATTGAGAGTATGAGAGGCAGCATTACGCACGACCTTGTGAAGACAAATCTCCCACGCAAATACTATTCTTCCACAAACGGTTCAAATGGTTCTGGACGGAATGGAAGAAGCTTTCATTTACCAGGCTTCAGTATCTAGTAGCAGTGGATCATCGATATCTCCAGGTAGGAATCTAGGTATATTAACGGCGAAAGAGGAATGTTGGTAAATCACGGTAAGATACTGTCCTTAGTCCTTAAGAATATTCCAATTTTTCTCTTGAAGAACTCCTGGAAAGTCACCTGAACTAGCTCAGATGACAGCAAATTCCAGCATTTGACTACTCTTAAGTAGTAGAAGGTTTATCTACAGTCTGTTCTGCTGTGTTGAGTCTCCAGTTTCTGAGTGTTACCCATAAGGTTTATGTTGGGACTGACACTAAGTAGGCATTCAAGGGGATATCCAAAGGTGTTTAGGATGCTGAAATTCATAAGAAGGTCACCTTTAATACGCCCATACTGCAATTAGTAAAGATTCAGTGAACTGGGGCTTTCTTTATTAGGCTTGAATTTGAGCCCCCCCCCCAACTGACTTCGTGACTCGCTGTTGTATACGTTAAAATATACATTTATCCTTTTGGGGCGAGAGAGAGAACACTATATTTATATGCTCTAAGTCGGGTCGGATAAAACCGTGGATATTAAGTGGGAAGTCCTACCGTCGAACTGCCAGAAAAGTGAGCTTCAACGTTATCAGTGTAAGGTTTGCTCTGAAGGCACCTTTGTCTCAGTTAGCGTAAGACTTCAGATCACAGGGTACCAACACTCCTAGATCTTTTTCAACATGTGGTACTTGTAGAGGGGAGTTCCTTAAGTTGTAGTTGTAGTCTTCAAAATATATCAAATGGACTACTTTACACTTTGAAATGTTAAAGGTGAGTTCGTTGTCATCTGCCCAACTTTGAAGTCGAGTCATATCCTCCTGAAGTGACAGCTTGTCACTGAAGATACTACAGGTATTGTACTTTGAAAACACTTCCAGCAACACCTATAATTGAATCGTGCCCATTAGTGAAGTCCAAATTCAGAAGTGAGGAGGTTAAAGATGTGTTTGATAGATTATGAATATATATAAAAGTGATTGATCCAAACTGGCTAATTACTTTTAAAGAACTGTTTTTTCGGGTTTATATTTAAAGAAAACATTGAACATACACATATTTTTTGGGAATAAATGTATAAGCATACTAAATTTTTTTATTATATACAATGCAAAAGAAAATCGAGATGAATCAAAATATTATTTAGTCTCTTATGTACAATAGTCGTTTAAATGTTCTGGAAATCTTACTATTCTTTCAGAACGCGTTGTTCTAAGTTTATTTTTAGATACTGTCGAAGTATCAACGTGCGTGTTGGCTGTCCGATGAGGTATTACGAGTGTAGGAGCCGTGTCGTTCGATTATACAGAAGGAAAATCGACATGTATAGGATTTCCTTTTAAATACGCCGCTTTGATTCCATCGACGCTGATGCTAACGTTAGTGCCGTTCTTACCAACTATATAGTACTTAGGTTCACGCTGAAGAACTTCGAAGGCTCCTTCGTATGCTGGTTCGAGGAGTCATCGATGTAAGTCTCGACGTATGAAACATGTGTACTATATCGTAAGTCAGGTTGGACGAAAACATCAGTTGATTGCGGTCGAGCGGAAACAGGTTTAAGCGAATGCATTGTGTTTGTATGCCTGTTGGTTTATGAGTTTAGATCCACGTTCATTGAAGAAGATGAAGGATCCACGAATTCTCCTGGTAGTCGAAGTGTCGTTCCATAAACGAATTGAGATGCAGCGTATCCAGGTTCGGCTTTCACTGTATTGCGAATACCTAGTGGGATGAGTGAAAGAGCGTCGGTCAACTATGAGGAGCTCGCAGCTGATAGCGAAGCTTCTGTCTGTCAGTGAAAGCGTTCTACCAACCCCTTTGCTTGTGGGTGGTAGGCGGTCGTTCGAAAGCGAGTGATTCCTAATGGTGTGGTCAGACAACGGAAAAGTCCAGATTCGAAATGGCATCCACGGTCTGTAGTGATGGTTGAAGGGTAGACGAAATTTGCTACTCATCGTTCGACGAAGTCCCGGGCAACTATTTCAACTTCAATGTTCTTAATAGGTACTGCTTCTGGCCATCGAGTGAAACGGTCTACCCACGTCGAAAGATAAGAGTATCCATTTGAATCTGGGAAAGGTCCTACCAAATCCTAATGAACATGGTAGAAACGAGCATCAGGAGTTTTGAACGAGCCCAAGGGACATTTGTTGTGTCTAATTACCTTGGATTTCTGAGAGCAGATTACACAGGAACGTGCCCACTCCCTTACGTCTTTATTCATATCAGGCCAGGTAAACCGTTCTGCTATAAGCTTGATGGATGCACGGACACCTGGATGAGCAAGTTTGGGCAACGTATTGAAGATGTTGCGTCGATAATGTTTCGGCAAGACTGGACTATCCCTATCTCTAGATGTGTCACATAGTAAGGTTTCCTTACCTGTTCCCATCTGTTTAATGTGCAGTTTAAGGGTTGTTGAGGATAACTCGTGCTGAAGATCAGTGTCTTCTTTTTGAAACTAGGCGAGTTTACGAAGGTTGATTTCTTTGGAAACTGTTCAAGTAAGTTATACGAGACAAGGCTTCTGTAACTACATTGTTTGCTCCAGAAATGTGTTGTATATCTGAAGTGTACTGCAAATGTAGTCCAGTTGTCAGGACTCATGAGGTGAGTACATGTCTAAAGATGAGCTTGAAGAGAAAGTAAAGGGTTTATGACCAGCAAGAAGGGTGAATTCTCAGCCTTTGATAGAGTAATAAAAATGCCGTACAGCACAATACATACCTAGGAGTTTCCTATCGAATGTGCTGTTCCTCGATTCACTGTCTAGCAACCGTTTCAAGAAGAATGCCAAATGTTGCTGAGTCGGATGCGTCTACTGCGATACAAATGGGCGCTTGAGTGTCTTGATGTGCCAGTATGGTCGACTTTGTGGTGAGTTTGTACAAACCCACGTTCAGTGTAGTGTTTTTATGAACTAATGATTTCTTTGTATTGATGACTGTTTGATTTTGAATTCCAAATACAGTACAATTCTGAGAATAATATGTTGAATGCGTCAAATTATGATTAAAAACCGGATTCACTTTTGGTAGATGATGATTTTGCTAATGATTCATTATTCTCTAATGAAACTCTTGATAAATTTGATGAAAATATTTCAAAAAAATCAAATCCTGATGTCATAACCTATATTATTTATCCTCGTAATGCATTCGCTTCTTGTGGGAAACTAGTACAATGCGAAGCACGAGTACTAAGTGAGATTGATTTTCATTACGATTCGGATAACTTCATATCATATTTATACTTATCGTGAAGTCACTTATAATGAATACTCTAGTCAATATGTGAAATACGTTTAAAATGAAGCCACATTATTTATAACTTGTGGATATGAAAATGCAACATTATTTCTTGGGGGAGGATAGTGTCGGAAAAGATATGGTTCAAACTCTAGATATCAGTGGTTTCAGTGCACAACCGACATGGTGGTTGTATGAAATTCAGGGACTCAGGTGAGTCCGTTCGAATTTTGGTTGTTAATTCTAATACTAACGAGTGCATTTTAAATAATACAGAGTATATCGAATACACTGTCGAACAGAACTTACAGGAAGGACGTACAATCGATTACAAACACTTACACTCCAATTTAAGCTGTGGTGGATGTGGTGTTTATATGAACCAATGGTTTCTTTGTATTGATGACTGTTTGATTTTGAATTCCAAATGCAGTACATTCGTTCGTGTTCGTCTAATACTTACACTGCGTTATTTCTGGGATTACTAGTTTATACTATAATTCAAATACGCATAAACATCACATTCGGGTGAATGTACCTATTACCATATGTGGCGATCGGCTTTCTGTTTGCCGCCTGTACGCTCAAAACAGATTCGCGAAGCCTGTCGTTAGAATTTGCATGAAGAACGCAAACTTCTGCGTCAGTATCGACGAAGTAGAGAAGTTTCGTTGTCACATCTGTGACGTATAACAGACGGCTATGTTCGCCGGCTATGATTGTCGTTAACGCGTGCCGACTGGGAAGTTTCATGGTCATGTCGGTAGATTTTGAGTTCAGGTAATTGCAGGGTTTTCTGAACCAGTCGGGGTTTTTCGTCTCTCATGGTCTAGAGACATCGCCTACGTGAAGTGCTTCTTCGCGGGTTATGTGACCGTTTACGGTCGTTAAGAAATCGAAAATAACGCGTAAGTATATTACATAATTCTGTAATGCCATTCTGTGTCGTTTAAAGTTTTCCTTTGACTGAAAAATCCACGGTATGAGAAGACTTTGTGATTTCTTAGATGCTTTCAGTAGATGCAGCCAGCTCGTCTACGGCGTTGTTTTGAAACGAGACCAGCATAGCTTGCACCTGTTGAGGTAGTTTGGATTAGAAAATTGTCTGAACAGGCCATCATCGAAAGTTCTTTGACCGATAACCTCTCTCCTTAGCAACATGTCTGTCGCAGAACCATGTTGCAGGTCGATATATTAAGGAGTTGATCTAACTTTTGTCCATTGGTTAGATCTCCGCGTTTCAGAATCGAACGTTTTGGAGATTTGTAAGGTTACGAAACATCACTGGTAAACACACTAGGTGTGACGTACCTGTTGAGCTCGCGTGGTAGTTCCTTTACATCTGTGAGGAATTGTGCGCTTGGATCAGCCATGCCGTGCTCATAGAGTCGGATTTTGCGTAGGAGAACCAGGCTTTGATTTTGTCCGGCCGGAAGAACATTAGTTGAAACGAAGGTGGGGGCATAGTCTCTAACTTAAGTATTCTCGTTGTCTGTTACGTAATAGCGAAATATCAAGTGTGAGAATGAACGAGGAAAAGAATGTCCGAAAACTCGAAAACATATTACAATATATAAGTGTTAAAATAAAGCATCCGGTTATGAAATTCCAAAAGCAAAGACGGATTCACAGTTTATAGGTTGGTGTATTTGATCACTTCGGGCTCCACAATAAAGATACCATAGGTATTGAAGTTTGACAGCACTTTACCAGCAACACCCATGGTTAAATCGTGCACATCTAGTGAAATCGAAATTCAAAAGCGCGGAGATTAAAAGATGTATTTGATAAATTATGAATATATAGAAAGGTGACTGATCCAAACTGTCTAGTGATCGCCGGGGAAGTTGAGCATGGCGTTCCCACTCCTGATCTGGTGCGGATGCATGACCAAGCACCTCCACCGGGGCGAGTCCATTAAAACTAATATGTTCAGCATCTAATGTCGAGCACTTACGAAGCTACTGATTCTGGAGATCTACTTACCGCAACAGAATTCTCCGGAGGTGTTTATCCACGACCTCGCACGTGGTAGTTAAACCCAGGACCTTCGGTCACGCACACGAACGCTTAGCGTTCGGAGACCGAGGATCCTGAGTTCAATTACCACACGCGAGGTCGTGGACGCGCACTTATAAGAAGTCACACAATAGGGGAAAATGGCCGTCTAATGCTTTCAGATTTTCAATAGTGGTCTAACTTAGGTCGGTTAGTGACCTCAAAGATATATTAACCTCGATTCACACCCTTCCTTTCAAAAACGGCTATAGATTAACAAGACTAACCTTAGTGGATGAATAACTCTGTATTAACTGTGTTTGATAGTCCAGAAAACTGATCACTTTCTGTCGCAGTTCATCATCCCTAGGTATACAATAAGAATGCAAATATATATCAGCAAAACTATCTTTTCGTGTTTGTATTTGGAATTCAAAATCAAACAGTCATCAATTCAAAAGAATCATTGGCTCATTCCAACACCTTAGTATATTTTAATAATGTCTTTACTAGGTTATTGATAATTTTACATTGTACGCCTTGAACTGATAAATCAGTTATGGAGAGGCAGAATCGTGTGAGGTCATTATTGCCCTGTTTAATAAGCCAGTGACTAATTAGTCGTCAACTTCGTGGTCGTGATTGATGAAATTGTGATCCGAACTGGAGGTATATCTTTCAGTCCCTAGAGGGTACACCGATCTACATTTTTTAATTGGTGAAATTCTTCTAAGCTTTGCCTGAGTTCAGTGGTTAGCTTGAAATTACTATCTAGAAAAGAGAAACTAGAAACACTAAGTTTTTGATTATCAACACACTCTGAGATAATGAAAGATGCCAAAGTTTCATACGAAGTATAAATTATATCTACTAGACAAAAGTTCCTGAATCACTGACATAACTTCTACTTCCACCTCGTGAATACTAGCGCTCAACCTTTTGATTGCATTCCTAAGACACCAACCTACCATGCTGCACAAAATATGAAGCGTTTCATGGTTTCATGTGTCATTCTTGTGAGAATTCGAGGTAATTTTCGCATCGTTGATTTCATAGTATACTTACAACTGGAGCGAGTGCCTTAACTTATCTCAAAAGGGGATAAGAAAACAAATTAACCACTGACAATAAATTAACACTGGCTAAGGCCATCTGCTCACATCAAAAATTCGAGAAAACCTCAAATTCTGAGTCTATATTTGTTTCCTTAACCCAATGCGCTTAAAATGATGAAGGTGGAAATTTATTTCTTCAAGGTCAACTGAAGGTCTTATGTCATCTGAAAGTATGTTTCTGTTCTGCTGTAATTTGCTTAGACAAGGCAGTATGTGGCTTCGTTTGCCCTGAGTGTCTGGAGTCTTTCGCAAATTCAGATTCACTTATGGTGCATTTCGAATCATCACATGAAAGTCTGTCTGTAAGTTTCGTAATTATTAGATTCAGAAGTGAGATTATAATTTATGAAGTAGTTCGCCAATCCAGATTTTCAGATTTGTTATTGAAAAAAGAAGGCCTATTTCAGTCATTTTCAAGTAATCATTTGATATTGTCAAGTTTTCTTTTGAATAAGTCAATTGAAGGGGCAGACACCACTTCGGTTAAGAGGTCCCAAGGATTGGTGACTCAATGTGTAAACCTGTATGCCACACTTATTTTACCCACCCCAGAATTTTATACTCGTTTGCTATCTTTGAGTCATCATGATCTTAGATCTTATCTGTTAGGAAGTAAGAAGAGGATATATCAGGTCCGAAATCACTTTATAGTATTCTGTAAATAGAAATTAAATCACCCCTTAATCTATGGTAGGACAAAATGAGTAAGCCTAAATTTTCAAGCCGCTCTGTGTATGGTAAACCTCGGTGCTGTGGAATCACACGGGTGGCTGCTCTACTTTTTCCAAGATACCAGAATCACGTTTTAACCAGGGGCTTGGATCTTAAATGCCGTTCTTGTGTCTGGATCTCACTAAGTTTGTGTGTAATGTGTTGAAAGTGTTAGTATCCAACCTAGTAAGTATCCGTTGTAAAGGTTATGGGGTCCTGAACTCCTTAGCTGCGACCACGCGGCACTGAGCCGTGGTCTTAAGATTATGACTTAGTGTTACCCCAAGATCATTGTTAGATCGGACTACGGGCATCGACTCTTCCCCTATTCTGTACCTATTTACCTTTTAATCCTCACTATGTATGTAGACACACTTAGCCGTGTTGACAGACATAAAACATTGTTTAGACCAGCTAATCAGAACGTGTAAGTTCGCCTCAAGTTCACATGCATCTGCGTCTCCTGTTATTTCCCTCTAGATTTTGACATCAGCTTATATTAGCATCAGGGACTCACAGCATTCGGAATGTATTCTTTCTTTATACGATCTACCAAGAAATCCTTTACCCATCTTAGGAGAGGTTCGGGAATTCCAGCCGGTGGTGCTGCAGTTCACATGTACCTGAGTCGTGTGTCATTGTCTGGGCAGCTCTTATGGTTAGGGCGCTTTCCATGTACAGGACAACCCCACTACCCCTAAAGTTTATTCTCTCAGGCCTGCAAAGTAAGAAACCAGGCAATTGAATCTCACTGTCATACACTTCTGACACTAACCATTTTTCTGAGATAGCAATGACATCAGTCTTTTGAGTCCACCACGTCATGGTTAAAAAAATTCTCACAGCAGTGGGGATTTTTATTCCACGTCATGTTTTCCCTCCGTTTTCATCAGGAGGCTGTTAAATGCGAATTCCTGAACATATATCTTTGCCTTCTGGGCTTGTTTCACTCACCAACGAACCGAGTACACTGTAGTATGTGTTACGTTTTTAAGTTGAAGCAGCTGCTTTGTCTTTGAAGTACTTGATTCTCAACCATAGATTTGAAAATATGTGTGCGATATACACGTTTTGCTGCAAATAGATATTACTGCAATCAAATAATAGGTGGTTTAAAGCCTAGCACATGAAACTGTTTTGTATATTTCCCGGCAACAGTAGAATAAAATTAAGTCCTTACTGTTTATGAAGAATCATCACCTACTTCTTTATTGCCAAAATATAATCACGTCTAAAATAGTAACTGAAAATGAAAGAACTTCGTAAATTCGTTAACACTCTTAAGGGACGTGGGCCTTCTAGGAAAGTGTAAACGTACTAACTAGGATTTAAAAGAATCCTGACGTTGGTGGATTAAGACTTCTAGTGACGTGGGCCAACAGTTTGCATGGTAAATTATATGCAGTAGTTCTTGATATTCAGCAAGACTTTGAATTTCCTGTTGACTTGTGTTTTTTTTACATGTTCATTCCGATGTTTTCCTCTGTTTTTGTGTGACTATATCTATCTATTCAGCTGCCTAGCGTAGCATTTGTAATTAATTAGCTGTTACGCTAAACCTACATGTCATTAGACACTTCACAGCCTAGATTTATATCTTTTGACTCAAAAAAAACATTGTATTAACCTCGTGTTGAATATTTGCACTATTCTTTGCAGTAAAAACAGTTTATTTCCATTTGTTTCTTCCTCAGAATAATGTTGAAAAATCCCCTTCTAAAGATAATCGTAATGGTGGTACGTTCTGTGGGTTTCCTACATTTTCTTTGACAAAGACTCTGATAAATTCAATTCCTACGAAAACTTGGTAGCAGAACTATCTACGCATAACTTAAATCTATTAAACCGAATCGCAGACCTTGTAAGCTATGATTTTTATATCATTCATTTTCTAATGGGTATGTTTCCCTCGATTTTATACGGTTTAGATCGTAAAAAATGTAATAAAATGACAGTTTTATGTTCAGCCCATTTAATAGTTCATATGACACGGGTTTCATGCATTAAATAATTAAAACCTAAGTAAGAGTGCGAATTCATCTAATGATTGACCTAGTTTATTTAACTCAGTTAAGCTGACCTTCATGTAGATAGGTGAGAATTAACACAACAAAATAAAATCCATTATATAACTTCTACATACGTACCGATCCTGCAGTCTGAACAAATCCGTATTTGGTCAATGGGTTTCAACAAAGTGCACAATTTTCATATATCGCTAGAATTAATGTTTATCGATGGATATTTATAGCATTTTGTAAGATATGGCTTTTTTTATCCCGTATGGTAGGATACACATTTATTCTGTACTGGTCCATTTTGAAATGTGTTCATTCAGCACCGTCATCTCTAAACTGTCTGTACGCGGAAGTATCCAGAAGTTTGGGGCTCTCTTTGTTTTAGGGACTCAAACGGATTCAAAATATTTTCTGTCTGCAGAAACTAAACTCGCGTTTTGTAGTTTTGTATCTCTGATTACAAGATGAACCTGGGTATTTGGGTAGGCTTAATTCATTGTTTGTTCAAACCTATACCATTCAGCAACACAGAGATGTTACAACTGAGCTAGGGATGTTCACCTACGATGATTCCACCATGAGAAAGGAATGATTTAAAGCAATCTGTCTTTAGCTACCTGAAATCTATGGGTATATGATACTCTGTCTCATATTGGATGAACAGTTATCCTAATATTAGTTTGTTGTATGTTGTAGACGAAATTTTTCTGCCTCGTAAGGTTGGATTGTAATGTATTCCAGAAAAATGTTTTTCTCTTATCAAGAGCATAAAACGTTATCAATATTTACAGCGAAATTCAGATTATTTTTATAGTCTTACTCATTACGTATTTAACATTGATAAAAAACGTGATAATTCAGCTTCTACCATTTTAAATACAAATATTTTTCACAGGAAGATGTTATTCATCTCTTCCTGAATGAACCTCCCTTGGTAAATCCTTTAACAATAAAGTACGTCTGTCGTGGAATTTATTTGTCTGCTGATTTGTTTAATTCTGAGTTTTTGTTATATTATTTATTTATTTTATTTGAACACATAAATATTGGTACAAGGGGACACTAGATATATATGCGCCACACAAAAAATTGTCACTTCATTTAATTATGTGAGGGCTATGGTACTGCCCGGGTGCTCAGACCGAAACAAGTGGTTTTCTTAAGGTGCCACACCTAGATTTTTCGACCTAAAGGTTTGAACCACACGGAAGTAGAGCATCGTAAGGAGATGCAGTCCCATGGTAGCCGGTGACCGACGATTGGTTCATACGCCATTTGTTCCCTCAGGTTACTGGAGCCCATGTGCACCATTAGTTTGAAATCGGGGTTTTCCGACTCCTCTAGGTGGACTTTCTGTGTCCACCAACCCGTTTAAAGCGCCGGATATTCGCTTTCTGTTCTCTCAATTTCGTAAAGAACACCCCCACCACGAGAAGGCAGTGAGTAGGACTTCCTTGGCAGAGGCTGTTTTTGTTATATATGTATTCTAATAATACTTTTGATGTAGTTCTTCAGATACTTTAGTTGACCGCTATTAGATTAATTAAATATGCATTAATTGAATATCCATAATGTTCCTAAACTTGTCTCAAAAAATTATAACTACTATTAACTCCATAATGTCTAAGTACGACACTCGTGGCTAGTCGTCTTTTGATAGTAGCCAGAAGTACCTTTGTGTTTTTTATTCGTGACTAATGAAGAGTAATTATGCGACTTTTCCCCTCACAAATATTGACAAAATAAAAATCGCAATGTTTGCATGAAGAAATGTGGTAATTCGATGAGGATTTCTGAAGGAACTCATTTTGGTAGATCGATGGAATCTAGAACATTGTCAGGAATAACCACTAATTCTTTAAATTCTGTCGATTTGTTAAACTGGTTTATTCTTAGGGATCTTTGTCGAATGACCAATTCTCATTCTCCAATTAAACTGAGTAAAAGTTTATGATCTTCAAATTAATATAACACATTCGTGGTAGTGTTTTCATTGTCCAATGAAATGTGACACTCATGAATCACTAATAAGACAGGAATTTAATTTTACAAACCAAAGTTATCAGTGTAAAGCTGTAATATGTTAATTATTTGAAAGAGAAACAAGTAGATCTTGTCTTCGGTTTAAAAATATATTATTGTTAATCTGTAAATTTTTGCTGGAAATCCCGGAAAGTTTATGTGTACTGTACACAAGGTAGTAAGTAGTTTTATCTGTTTTAGTGATGCTTTATTCAATCGTTTTAACTGAATATTGAGTAGCTTAATTCACAAGGTGTTCATAAGACACTTGTCATTGATTTACCTGTTTTGGACATTAGTTTTCTTTTAGTTAGTGTTTGTATAGTGCGATAAAGTGGCAACTATTTTCAATCATTGTTTAAAATTCCTAAATCTTGATTACTTACCACATATTCCTTGCCATTACGTCCAAAATTGACCATGATTTTAATTTCAACTGTAATGATTAGAATTATCCAGTTTGCATATATGCATTCTCTGCGGATTGCTTCGAAATAACCATTATACCACAGGCTTTTTATAAGGTGAAACGCGCGTCCTAGATTCCATTGATGGTCATGTGGTGGGTGCTACTTATGTCGACATAAATAGTATATGACACCAGTCAGAAGAAGAATACCTGGTGGTAGAAAGCTGGGAATATCGAATCGAAGAGAACGAGAGGAGTAATTATTGTGGCAATGAAGGAACGGTAAAGTTTGAAACAATTGATGGAATATTTGCAAATAGAGTATTTTATATATGGTTCTTGTATTTTACCTAGATACTCTGTAATTTTGTATCAAAATACGGTCGGTTGTCCACCACTTTTGTTCTCGTTCACTACAGTCATATTCTAAGTATTCGATAAAGGACTTTTGACCACAATTTTGTTCTTTGATCATTTTAAAATCTTTATTACCAATGAGTGAACTTGTATTTGTTGCACTCTAGTTTTTTGAGCTTTAATAAATAGTCTGTTTGTTTATGCCATTGAATTTCTAGATGCAAATATGTATAAACGCTTGGTATATCTCATTAATTCTTAATCTCTTAAAAGTTGACGAAAAGGTTTAAATTACTTCTATTTATGATTTACAACCAGCCTAACAAGTTAATACGGGACAAATGAATTTATTTTTTTCCCCAATGGACTCATGGAATAGAAGTCTACGCACCTTTCCCAGACATTAGTTCACATATACTTTTGGCTCATAAATTAAAATCTCATGAGCAAATTTGTTTACTTCGAATGATAACATTATAACCATTAACCTGTTTTATAAACATAGATGAATGGTGGCTAGCAGTGTAATCCAGGACGCATGTTCCGTCCTATAAAAAGAGACCGATCAATTCCAGTTCTAAACGTCATCGGGAAGAATCGAACAGTCAATACAAAGATGAATTAAACTTCACCCCATTGCACAAGCTATTGGTTATCTGGACTTAGTAGCTAGGTGGATAACGCGATTGTGTTTGAAGCAAAAAGTACTGGGTTCGAGTCCCTAAGTGAACATCAACTCTGGAATACAAGTACATCCAGCTGACGGGTCCCAAATAAGACGAAACGAGCGTCCTGAATTCTTCTGATAATCACCATCCATCTCTACTTAAAAATGCTTATGACGTGTCGGCAGTATCGAAGCAATCCGCTCAGGATGCGTATTTATCAATAAGAAACTAATCAATTGCAGTCCTAGATGTCAGTGGAGAGACTGAAACAACCAATACAAAAACACATTCCCCTGTTTGTTATAGAATTTTAAAGCTTTTTAGCACTACTAAGTGGGTAACTATGCTGAATTCCTTAAATTCGACCACTTAAATTTGCTCATAATCATTTCACAGATCCTTTCTCAATAACAGATCTTCAATATGCTGTTCTATTAATCACCTTAGTGTACTTCCTAAGTATTTTTAAATAGCCACCCATCTAGGACTTCCTAAACAAGGAATTATTTGAAACACTATCAGAATCAAGATAAACATTTATTTACTACTTTTACGGTTAGTAAACTGCAGACGTATTCGAAATCAAATTACAGATATCATTAGAACTTTCATATAGATTTTGATATAATTGGTGTCTTATCAATAATTTTAAACAGTATGACTAATTTCTGTCCATTTTAATAGTGATTCTGAATGTTAAAGGAATTAGTTTGTTTTAGTATTTGATGACATTTGCACTTTTCGCCAAAGAATTTTAGTATGTACTCGTAGAGGTAAGAAGCATAAGTAAGTACGTAAGTAACTTGTAGGAAGAATAATCGTCCAAGACTCGTTAGTGTACTATGGACGCCAGATAAACGTCGAGCATTTTCACTCGTTAAGTTTAGTCAATTAATCCCAAACTCAATGATCTAATTTCATGCCAGTTTTCATGGACTAAAAATGACCAGTAGAAATAAAACTTGGCTTCAATGCTAATGGCTCTGAATAACATCGTTGTTAATATTAATAATAACCATGGTAACGATAACGTATCTGATAACTTCTTTAGCTGATGATAAATAATAAAATATTAATCTCCCTGACATTTTAAACTTATCTTGCTAACAAGTACAATAGTGTGATATGTTTTAAGATGCTTCTAGTTGGCTGCGTTTAACCATTAAATACATTGCACTGTAATTTATAGGCCCTTAGCTTATCGGTCGCACTGTGAACTTGATCAATAGACTCTAAAATACACGGAAAACGAAACCTTATATTCCTCACAATTATATGATTACTTAATTACTAATTGTATGTTGATATTATACAAAGAATACCTTAATCCACTGTGGTGAACATCTTATCAGCAACCAACATTTATTTAATCCACTAACGAAAAGATAGGTTTGCTGATATATATTTGCATTCTTATTGTATACCTAGGGATGATGAACTGCGACAGAAAGTGATCAGTTTTCTGGACTATCAAACACAGTTAGTACAGAGTTATTCATCCACTAAGGTTAGTTTTGTTAATCTATAGCCGTTTTTGAAAGGAAGGGTGTGAATCGAGGTTAATATATCTTTAAGGCTTTGTTATTAAAACGACAGGCTTGCATATGAGCAAAGTCTTACTTGTTGTCATCAACATAAGCACTTGATACATCCAAGTTTCATCATTTGTTCTCCATATTTCAGCCAACTGAAGAAGATCTAACGAAGAAGGATGAAACGATTGATTTGTTAAAAAGACAACTAGATGAATTACAAATTAAGGTAAGTGATTTCAGTTTTTGATAAATTAATATGATGTATTCATTTTTATTCTGTTCAATTACAGGAAGAGATTATGAAGAGAGATGCAAGCACTTACTTTAATATTGACACTAGAGATGTTCAGACACAATATGTTTCAGAGGTGAGAATAGTATTTCTTCAGATTCTTTTTTTCAATAATTGTTTTATATCAAATATACATGCCTAATACCTAAAATAATATAGTGTAATTAGGAAATAGTGAAATAGAGTGAATGACGACTAAATTCCTTATGTTTGAAGGTATCAATGCCAACGACGGACTTGATAATTTCAAATAAGCTGAGTATTAAGTATAAGGTTAATAATAAATATATTTTTTGTGATATTCCAATTAGTAGAAAATTATATTGCTGACGTTTTGTGTCTTAATGTAAGTCACTTCTTCAGAGTAAATAAAAGAACAAGTGACTATCATTCAGGCACAAAACGTCAGCAATACAATCTTCTACTCATTAGGATATCAAAATAATATATCTATTATTAGATTCTTTATAATGTTTTGAAGAATAACAGTAAAAATATACATGAATGATATTAACAGTTACGGTAACCTTTGAATAAAATTAGTTTTAGTTCTGAAAATAGGAAAGAGGGTAGCTTGTAAGTACATTAATCAAATTAAGTCATCTTATAATTAAGATAATCGTTGGCTTATTATGTCTGGTTTTAGTCAAGGTAAGAACAGGTTGAACATTTGAGTTTTGTATATATGTCTCTAATTTTTATCTAATCCGAATAACTATTGATTCCGCTGTTCGAAGGATTTTGAATCTGATAGATTTTGTCATAAAATTAATAGCTCGACAAGCTATTAAAAATGAGTGATTCATTCCGACACTGATTAATTTAGACTAGATGGGCAAGTATTAAGCTAATTCTTGCATTATCTTGACTACACCTTTGCTCATCCATCCTGACAGGTGCTTAAGAGCACAAGAACGCAATTCCCTAGAACATTGACTGATCTAACTGGTTTTACAAGACCAGTTGAATCGGTAAATGCAAGTGGAGGTGACTAGTCTAGGTGATATGTCGTTTATTATTACCGTCACCATCAGATTATTAATTTTGATGTATAACTATAAAACCTAATAAGAATCTATTGAAAAGAACATTATTTTTTCCATATATTTGTATGACTAAGGTTTTATACTGTCAAATATATGTTTGTTTTTTCACACTACACTGAGCATATTTATATACTGGTTTAGATTTCTAGTGAAATACTGTGTAAGAATTTAATTTCGAACAGATGTGGCAAATATTAGGTGGGTACTCACGATTTGAAGATCAGTCGTAGGGAATCGATCGTTTAGCCATCTCACCATATGTTCTATGGATTGTTTATTAATTTTGATATGTCCATAGATATGTTTTATTTAAACCAATAGTGCTGATGTCCCGAATAAGTGATCTGATATGCTTACACTCCTCAGTCCCGAAGCCTCACTCAGAGAGCGGGAATAAGAGACAATGTAATCTTTCTAAAGCCGACTTAAGAACGCACTTTATTATAAACGTGAATTATGTGATCGCAACGCACCATAAATAACAGATTTTGACATCTGTTTAACAAGGACATTTCAGTTGCATAATCTAAATAACAGGTTTAAGTAGTTAAATTACAATAATTTAGGAAAACAAGAAGATATAACAATGGTCTGTGTATCAAATGAAAGTGTCTTATTAATACAAGGTAGAAGTATATGTACTAATCTCTCGAAAAAATGGCTTACAATGTTTGCTATTCTCACTCACTCTTCTTATCTTAACAAATCTGTGTATAATAAGCAAAGATGGATAGTGTCTAGCAGTGGAATCCAGGACGCGCGTTTCGTCCTATCTTTGCTTATTATGCTTGTGAATTAGGGCAATATCGAGGCAATGCACACAGCATGCACATATGCCAATTACAGACTGATCAATTGCAGTCGTAAACATCAAGGGGAAGACTCAAACAAACGATACTAAGTGAATTTAAACTTCACCCCATTGCACAAGTAAGTGACTATCAGGACTCAGTGGCGGAGTGGATAGCGCGATTGCGTTTGAAGGGAAAGGTACTGGGTTCGAGTCCTAGAGTGAACATCAACTCTGAGATGCAGGTACATCCAGCTGACGAGTCCCAAATAGGACGAAACGCGAGTCCTGGATTCCACTGCTAGAAACTATCCATCTTTGCTTACTATGCTTGTGAATTTGGACTATATGGAGGCAATACGCACAGTATGCACATATGTCAATTAGAAACTGACCAGTTGCAGTCTTAAACATCAATGGGAAGATTCAAACAAAACAATACTAAGTGAATTTAAATCTGTGTATAGTTTTTTAGTGACACTAATAATTCATAGATTGTATTAATATATTGTTTTATGAAATACTTTTTACAGTGCATGTTATTAAGATCGAAATAAAATATTAGTTTATAAAGTCTCTTACAATTAACATTAGTTATAAATTAAATCATACAATGTACAATAGTTTGTGGTAACATTATAGGCTCACCTATTCTCTGTCATATTGATTGATCACTTGAGGAATGGCTATTGTCATGTTCGTGTGTAGCCCTTAGTGCTGGTCGGATTTTATCTTTAAAATTATATGGTCACTATTAGTCTAAGTGTTCGTGATCTTGAGTAATTCTTTCACACAGTGAAAGGATAATTCTTCTTGAGGCACTTGAATCAGAAATTGGATTATTGGTGATGATAACCCTGGCCTCCTAGGCTATCTCAGTATTCAGCATTTTTTTTTATTTTGCTCAAGTCGTTTGTGTAAATAAGTTTGTTTTAAAAATAATTGATAATAAGGGATTGTAGAGATAGTTAAATTTCATTGAAATTATGAATCGATCTAAGTCAGACCACCATTGAAAACCTGAGAGTATCTGAGGGTTCATGATTTTGATGAAATTTAACTATCTCCACAACCTCTTACAGACAGTTATCGTGTGCTCACTAATGACTAGTTTCGAGAGGAAATTCCCAGAGTTCTAGTGAGAGGCTGTGACCAATAGAGCCGATCCTTATCGGATATGAGGCAGTTATCCACCGAAGAAAATGAAAGTTCGTCGCTCAATATAGTGTATGGATCGAAGTTAAACATTAACACCATTGGATACATTCGCACACAAGACCCAAAGTCCTAGTTTCAATTCTCACATGTGGGATCGTGGACTCACACTGCTGACGAGTTTCACACTAGGACGAAACGGCCCCTAGTGCTTCTAGACTTTCAATGTTGTTGGTCTAACTTAGTTCGGTTCATGACTTCAACTAAAAATAATTCTAATCATAAACCAATGTCAGTTATAATCAATTAAATTAAAACGAAACAATTATTCGTTTCTCTCTTTCTTTCAATGATTTTTTAGTTAATATAAGACTACCTTCATAGGTTAGTTATAAAAATTACCTTTATACTTTTGCACATTACAAATTGTGATAAATTGAATTCACCACCACTTTATTATTATTAAACTTTCCTTAGGGATTAACAGAGAACAATCTACCTGAAAGTACAACAAAACTATCAAATGAGAATAGTTTATTATTAGAAGAAAAATTAAAATCTCTCTCATCTGAAAATGATTCTTTAAAAGTAAGATTATTTTTTATTAGAAATTAACTAATAAATAATTTTCAGAAGGGGGTTTTGTGGAGATTTTAGTAATTTTATGTAGTTGAGATCATGAGTCAATTGAAGCTAGACCACCATGAAAAAACTGGGAACACTGGACGGCCGTTTCGTTTTATTGTGGGACTCCTCAGCAGTGCGCATCCACTGTAGGTCCTGGGTTCGAATCTCGCGAGGCGGGATCTTGGATGTGTACTGCTGAGGAGCTCCATACTACGATGAAACAATTATCCACTGCGTTCAGATTTTTAATAGTAGTTTTACTTATATCGGTTCATGATTCCAATATTTTAATATGCTGATGCTTACTAACAACTGTTCATAGGAGTGTCTTCTGATATATCTTCTTATATATAACATGAAGTACTATATTTTGCTTCTTTAGTTGTTTCCTTTTGGTTAGTTTTATTAACAATTAGCTGATCTTTAAGATATTAGTGTAAATTTTTCTTTTTAGGTAAATCGAGAATATTCCAATCATTTTATGATTGACTTTTCTCACACTAAACACAAGGTGTTCATTTTGCATCTACTTGTGTCCATACAACTTGCTACACAGTTCATCTATTATTTTAATACACTGCAACAAATCCTATCCTTTTTGGACATCCAAAATATAACTGGCGACCCGATTGAATATTCGGGCTACTTGTTTCTTTCATCTAGATATTTCAACAAATTATCTGTTTTTGTTTGTTTTAACACATGTCTATTAATCGCATAAATTATTCAGGTGCGTTTATGAAAAGTTTACCACCTTTCGCTGTACAACTTACAAAAAGTAAAATCAGAGACATTGTGACGGCTGTCAATATGCATTGAAAAAAATTAACACAGTTCAGATGTCGATTCTTGAACTGCCAACACTAAACTAGCTATTACTTATTGGCAAGGTGAATTGTCTTCAATCCCTACTGAATCTAAACGCTTATGATAATTGTGGTGTAATCACAATTCAAGAATCCTGGTTAAATGATTTACAAGACGATTGCTCAGTATCAGTACAAGGTTTCAATATTAATCGTCAGGCTCGACCACGAAATAAGAAAAGGAAACTTGTTGAAATACTATGTTCTGAGAACTCTATATTGTACCAAAAAATATAATGTCGAATCAAGTAATTAATAATGGTAATAATAATGCTAATCTGGTTAATTCTTAAGCCAAGAAATTGATTGTGTAAATACTCAGGATAATCATGAATGTCTATTTAAAAATCCCATTATGAAAATTAGAACAACACATGTAAACGAACAATTGTTTTCAATTAGATAGTCATCAGGCTTTACTCTAATAAACATGAATATTTATACGAAAATGTTAGACCAATCAAGGCGATTCGAGTCAATAATCACAATGAAATAGAATACGTCACCGAGCATAATAGGTCTTCCCACTATCAACTTGTACTTTAACCTATTATGCTCGGTGACGTATTCTATTTCATTGTGATTATTGACTCAAATTGCCTTGATTGGTCTAACATTTTCGTATAAATATTCATGTTTATTAGAGTAAAGCCTGATGACTATCTAATTGAAAACAATTGTTCGCTTACATGTGTTGTTCTAATCTTTCAGTTCTGTTGTTATTGCGATTGCTCTCTGTTTCCCTTCCCGTCGTTCTCAATTCAATCTGTTGACAAGCATTCTACTTCCGATTGGTGCTACATACTATTTATATCTACCAGCATAAGTAGCATCCACCACACTGGTTTGCAATTTTTTTCTAAATGTTTAATGATGAATTTTTCAATCACACATGCAGTCTTACTATGGACTCAACTGGGCTGTGCATAAGATATACCTATCAATGAGATTGAATATTGTTTGCTTTGTATTTCACTATTTAACTAGATTTAGAAATAGAGTAACATAAATTTTTAACTTGGTTATTATAAAACGCCAAGTTCTTGAACACTATATCACAGATGTTTGGATATGTACAACCAAACCATCCAGTTCAGAAAACAAAACTCCATCAAAATCATCCATGTGAGCTACAAATCTTCTCCACCATTTCAGGATATGTACAAATTTATGATGATTGCTGTGAAATAAAAATAAAACACCCTTCTAGTTGTTGTTATCCCATTCTGTCACGAAAATCACTTTCAAATATATTTCTACAATTCTTCACAATGTATCTATTGTTCATTCATGGTTAACTTAGTCATTTATATACGATTTTACCTTTTTTGTGCTTTTCTGGACAACATCAATGCCACTCCTTGTGTATGTGGGGCATTTTCTTCTTCATGACCGGAGTATAACAGAAGTTCCCCTGAAGATAGTCGTTGTTGTCCAACCTGCATCCAATGTGTTTCAATGATCCCAAGCACCTCCAGGTTGTATTTCCTCATTTCTGCAGCAATTTGGAAGACTCTTTCGGTCTCACACACTGTCCGGACATTCCATGTATCTATAAAAATTGTTGCTCTGGTTTTTAGAAGGTGCATCGGTCTCATGATTTCCGAAGAAACTCGGCTTTCATCATGAGACGTCATAATTATTCCTTCTACTCCCAGGGCAGAGTTTAAATGGTTTGAATAATTTTTTCTGGTTAGCGTTTTTTAGCGAGTTGGCTTTCTACTGGATGGGGTCGCTAACCCTATGCCCAACCCTCCTCCTTTACCCGGGCTTGGGACCGGCAGTAACCCCCGGAGGAGCTACAGACGGAGTTACTATTTTACCTAGCTGAATCTTTATTCGTTATTCTAAATAAGTTGACTGTAAATAGAATTATACACTGTTGAATAATAAATATATGTATGGTTAGTTGTTTACAGTTGTTATATCCCAATTATTAAGGAAAATTGTATTTCTGACGTTTCGTCACCTAATGTAAGTCGCTTCTTCAGAGTAAATAAGTAATCGAATTAAATTAACAATGAAACTATCAAGTCCAACCTTGTCATTGATACCTAATATACACTGTCTAATTATTGATAAATTTGCATTTCCTTTGTGTGATAATATCTGGGTTTTTCTTTTAAAATCTTGATTGGTTTTTCCTTCTTATAGACAGAATTATTATCAGTTAAACATGAATTGAATAATGTCACTATTCAATTGGATGAATTGAATAATTTTAAAAAGGATGAAATGAATAAATATGAGACAGAGTTAACAAATCGTTCTGCTCATTTATCAATTCTTGAAAGACAATTACAAGAGTTAAAGTTAACTAATAAAAAACTTACAGACGATTCATCTATTCTTTTACATTCAAAAGAGAATATACAATCTGAATTGAAAACAATTAAAAGTGAATTTGAAATCAAACAAAAGCAGTGTGAATATGATATTGTAAGTAAATTGTTATTAAGTATTCTATGTAAAGATGATTTTTATTTATTTTTATTTAAGCACATAAATATTGGTACAAGGAAGCACTAGATACATATGCGCCGCACAAATCTCATTCGATTTATGTGAGGGTTGTGATACTGCCCAGATGCCCAAACTGAAGCAGGTGGTTTTCTTAATGGGCCACACCCGGAGCCTTCGACCTAAAAGTCTGATCCACAAAGCAGTGGAGCATCGTAAAGAAATGTAGTTTCATGGTAGCCGGTGATCGACGATTGATTCATACGCCATTTATTCCCACAGGGTACTGGAGCCCATGTGCACCATTGGTTTGGAATCAGGGTTTTCCAACTCCCCTAGGTGGACTCTCCGTGTCCAACAACCTGGTTAAAGCGCCGGACATTCGCTTTTCGTCCTCTCAATTTCGTAAACAACACCCCCGCCACGAGAAAGCAGTGAGTAGGACTTTCCTGACAGATGCTATATATTCGCGTGGCCATATGAGAGCATTTCGAGAGGGAGAGCAGACTCTCCCCACTCTTGGCCGTACCAGGGCATTTGGGGGCGTAAAGATGATTGCCACAAAGAAAATTGATTGTATTCCAAAGAATTATTTGAAATGCTAGTAAAAAATAATATATCGTTGTTATCTTACCACTTGTTCATTATTTTTGACCACTACACTTCAGTCAACTAGTTCAACATCAAAACGAAGACAAGAGGAAAAGAAAATATATTCTAAGAAGAAAATCGAAATAACAAAAGTTGTAGTAGCGAAAGCATAGAGGTTAACTCAGAATTTTTAGCCCCCAAATGCCCTGGTACGGCCAAGAGTGGGGAGAGTCTGCTCTCCCTCTCGAAATGCTCTCATATGGCCACGCGAATATATAGCATCTGTCAGGAAAGTCCTACTCACTGCTTTCTCGTGGCGGGGGTGTTGTTTACGAAATTGAGAGGACGAAAAGCGAATGTCCGGCGCTTTAACCAGGTTGTTGGACACGGAGAGTCCACCTAGGGGAGTTGGAAAACCCTGATTCCAAACCAATGGTGCACATGGGCTCCAGTACCCTGTGGGAATAAATGGCGTATGAATCAATCGTCGATCACCGGCTACCATGAAACTACATTTCTTTACGATGCTCCACTGCTTTGTGGATCAGACTTTTAGGTCGAAGGCTCCGGGTGTGGCCCATTAAGAAAACCACCTGCTTCAGTTTGGGCATCTGGGCAGTATCACAGCCCTCACATAAATCGAATGAGATTTGTGCGGCGCATATGCATCTAGTGCTTCCTTGTACCAATATTTATGTGTTTAAATAAATAAATAAATAAAACTCAGAATTTACAGGAAAAACTTCGGTGAAAGTATAGTATAGGGAAGAACTTAAAATGATCACAATGAATTACCAGACAGTTTCTAGCGCATCAAAAAACACGTTTTAGAAATGGATAGTTTGTGGAATAGTAAACAAAATTTGTGATTGATAGATCTGTTATTCTCTTTTACTGCTTACTCTGCCTGCAAACTGGAAAATATAACGACATATAAACTCGTCCTTATGAATTTAGATTGTCCATGTTCTTGAACCTTTACTGTGCAGCAGTCCGTTCCGTCCTACTTTATGGAAGTGAAACATGGCCGATAAGAGTAGAGGATATTCGTAGGCTACTAGTGTTCGATCATAGGAGTCTTCGACGCATTGCTCGTATATCCTGGGACCACCGGGTAAGTAATGCAGATGTTAGGAAACGGGTACTCGGTAAGGATGGCAAATCGATTGATGAAGTAGTGAATCTTCATCAATTGAGATGGCTGGGACATGTGTTACGTATGCCCAACCACCGACTGCCCAGACGTGCAATGCTTTATGGTGTAGGAGCAGGTCGGAAGAAAGCTAGGGGCGGCCAGACCAAAACATGGCATAAATCCATGAAGTCACTGACATGTGGACTGGGCCATGTTGGTAGGTGTAGACTACCTGGTTGGGATTCGCGAGATGATAGCAGCCGATGGTTAGAGACCTTGAATGACATGTCTCAAAATCGTCTGCAGTGGCGAAGGTGCATGCACTCTTTGTGTTCTACCAAATTCTAATCTGAATCCTTCATGTCTGTATCCTTTTTCTCTTTCCAAATTTATTTCATTGTATTATACTCCTTCAATAACATCTTCAAACCCTAATCTTTCGGATTACTGCTTATACTCTTAGTACTTCTACCATTATGGGATTTGACTCGACAACTTTATCTCTGTGCTAATGTGGTATGGCAACTCGAACTGATGTATGTACGTACGAAGTTCTACGTTGTAACTGACTGACTGACTGAAAAGGGCTAAAACAGAGTTTTTAGAGTCTGTACATTATTCCTAGTTAGGGTTTGGTATTTATGGTTAGGATTAAGGGTTTAAGGCTAGGGTTTCATCAGGAACTGGCATCAGCTATGATGCAAAGGTACTCTGTAGTCATATGAATGAATAAATTTCATTCAAGAATTCAAGAAGCGCCATCCAGTTAGATCGTTCATGAAGTTTATTGCCATCAGGTTAACATTCGCTTCAGGATAAACTGCTTAAGGTCAGGATTTGGGGATGGTGTCGGTTTGTTTGTTATATACAATCTAAAGAAACGTAATTAGACATTTAATGCATTTAACAGTATTATGTTTATTTTATGGCTTCAAAAAATTATTTTTCTCTACTATTTCAAATGTTTTAAGCACTATACAGAGGTTTTTCTGCTGATCATTCCACATAATGTTTGAATTTTGCGCAAGAACTTAGAGGTCATGTTCTCGATTATGATTAGCTCGTCCCTAATTCATACTTCTACGTGAACCTCCAGTGTGTTCTCAGTCCTTGCGTTAACATTGACTGGTTAAAAATGAACCAATCGGCGTATCTCGATCTGGTCTTGGTTTCGTTTTCCAGTTCTTAGTAGTCTAGCTATGGTTACATTGTTTTAAATGTATTCGAAATGTAGCTTATGGATTTGTGAGCATATTCCATTTATCAGCAAAGATGGATAGTGACTAGCAGAGAAATCCAGGACGCGCGTTTCGTCCTATTTGGAACTCGTCAGCTGAATGTACCTGCATCTCAGAGTTGATGTTCACTCTGGGACTAATAGACAATTAGTGACAATTACTAAACATTATGAGTGATACCTATGCCTGTAACCCCTCATGGAACATCCTTCAGTCTACTTTGTCTTCTGCTCTCCTTTACAGTTGTTGCCGAGTACCTTTTACTTCTTTGGTCTCTACCTTCAGTTTTCGGCGGAATATCTGCTTTGATTCTGTTTCTTTTCCTTTCCCCTTGAGAATTCCAAGTTAGGACGTGTTTTGTGATGCAGTTTGTTAATTTACATAATGTGCACCCTATCCACCTGCAACTTCTTTTCCCAACTTCCACTTCAGCCGGAAGCTGGCTAGTACGTCGTTGCTATTAGTTTCCAGCCAACGGACATTGATTATTTTGCGTTAACGACTGTTTATAAATACTTGTACCTTTGTGATGATGATTGTAGTAGTTCTCGAAGTTTCAGCTTCGCACAGTATAACTGTCTTGACGTTGGTATTGAAAATTCCTAAAACTCTGAAAAACTATTAGGTTATAAAATATATATATATTTCTTCCATTACAGAATCGACTAACGGATGAATTGACCGAATCAAAAAATTTAAATACTACTCTTCAGGCAAAATGTCATCAACTTCAAACTGAAGCTGATGATGCTGTAAAATCAAGTCAAATCTGTCAAGAGAAATTAATTAGTTTAGAGAAGGATCTTGGAAGTATTCGTTCAGAGTCACAAAGTAATCATAATGAGTTTTTATCGTTTTTATGTTTGGAAGTGAATGTAAAGTTTTGTTTCCGGTTTCCTGTTTGTAACTAAAATATACATTATTTCCGTCAAATACTGCTTTGTCCAAAAATGCACGAACTGACGTCATAAGTTTATTTCACAATGTCTTAAATACATCACTCTTAACCTTTTCATATGTACTACCATTTCCGTTCCTCTTATTCAAAATATCTTTTGAAATTTCTGCAAATTATGCTCTTCATTAAAGTCTTTACATCATTCTAATTTCGGCTTCGTAGTATTATTTAAGCTTTAGAGCGAATATAAGCACCATGAAGTACCAAGTTTTGTTGGTGAAAGTGTGGTTAAGCATGCTTGTCGAATCCTAATTCAGAATCCCACGGGTAATCATAACTATCATACTACTTTAGTTTGTGTGTTTATTGCGCATGCAAGAAAATTACATCTTTCATTGATCAGTAGCTTAATAGACTGCTTACTGTGATAGACTGATGACTTATTTCATGATTTGTACGAGCCTAATACAAATTGACGATATATAAAGGAGTTATGCGCAATGAGAAGTAGAAAACTAGCTCTTTACATGAGTAATTTACTCAATAATTACTAGTTTTGTATATATATATATATATATATATATATATATATATATATATATATATATATATATATATATAATTAATGACTGTGAACTATAGTGGCTGGTACTATGTCAAGCCCATATAGGTTATTCGAGCTTCTGGACAGAACCATTTATCCAAGCTACCTCTTAACCTTTCCACTTATTCTCTTGTTAACCCTGTCTATTTTTATATGATTGCATGTGTGTTAGTTACATACCCTGTTCTTTGTGTCTATAAATTCTTTTTGTCTGACAATAAATATCGAGTCACGCTTGGTTGAATCGAGTTAGCACACATGCCATCTTCAATCCCTTTTGCATCTCTTTCTTCGCTTCGTTTTCCTGACCATCTGTTTGGATCAACAGTTGTATGAAATATATGTATTCAAACCTCATTCTCGTATTTGACTTATTTTAATTTGGTTATTCACTAACGCGATTTGAGCCGTTGATTATATACGAGAGTAGCCGGGTTGTATATTACCCTGACAATCAGCGAACGATCCAACCGGAGTCAAATACAGGGTCATTTAAGAACAGTAGTACACCAAAAATTTAGCCTTTAAGGATCAATCACATAGTTTTTATGTCCTTTGTTAGTGTTTAAAGCTAAAACACAATACATTGAAAAACCAATACTTTCCGGAAAGCATATAATTTGAGAATCATTATTCTCACATGCTTTATATTATTCCTGATTCTTTATGATGAAAAACTGACCACACTATAATATTACATAACTGGTTTTCCAATGAGTACAATTTCAGAATACTCAACTTTTGAAAAATCTCTGTGTAAAATCTGGTTTTAGTCTCATCTAGTCTACATACTACAACTTACATTTTGTGCCATGTATTTACGTATTTTGTTTATGAATTCACTCACTATTTGATTAATTTATTCAAGAACTATTTCTTATATTCATAAATAATCATTTCAGTTCACAGTATTATGCATCAATAATGTTCTCATGTTGAATACCTTGAAGGGACACTTTTCTTTATAAAATTTGGTGTTGGTCAACAACAACAAAATAATCGAAGATTATTGATTACTAAATAAGATGCTTTATATCAGTTAATCAGCTAATGAAAAGAAACAGTTTGCCTTATTGTAATTGTAAATATAATTTTTAAGTCTTATGTTGTGTCACTTGGTGGTAAATCCCCTGAGGCTGGCAGAAGAATTTCACCAGTCATCGATAGACAACGTAGCACTTCAAATAAATATGTGTAGTTCGAAATCGTCATATCTTCACATCAGTACATCTCGGGGGCGAAAGAAAGCGAATAAGGGAAGTAATGAGACAACGGAACAGAAATAGTAAACTTAATTTTAGTGGAAAATTAGACATAATATATAATCCAGAAGAAAGGATTCAATCTTTCTCGGTATCATTGTTAATACTATTATTTCAATTCGTTTGCTATTCATGATATCGTTCTGATGTAGGGTAACAAAACAATCTAAGTTTACGCGTATATTTTTCCCAGACTCTAATATTGATTATGAATAACTTGTTTCCTTACTTTAATTCTTTTTAATTTATAGCCGAATCAAAATTATGCAAGAAAGAAATTGATTCTCTCATGGAAAAGTAGGTTTTAATCAATTTTATTTTTCTTGGCATAAAATATGGTTATTGTTTATAGTATAGTGGACGAGAACACCGATTGGGACAACCAAATGTATTTGAGTACAACATTACAGAATATCTTGGTAAAATCTGATAACCATACAGTAAATACTTCATTTGCAAAATATCCATCAATTGTCTTAGACATTCTTGTTATTTCGTTGCTATGCTAATCATTCTCTATCCTCAACTTTCTGCCTCCAGGCATTCTCCCTTTGATTTGTAATGTATACAACTTATATCTGTCGACAGCAGTAGTGCACACCACATACATGTAAATTATGACATTGAAATTGATTATAAAAGTTTACACTTGTTGTCTTACAGTAATCTAATAAATCATAACTAGTCAACATCCACTTGTTCACAAGGTTCTAATCGAAAGTTGATCACTTTATGCGTTTATTTGATATTTTATTTTAACGGATATTGGCCATGTTTAATATAGACCTACGCTACCAAGCAGAATAACTTATAGAGGTCTAGATAGTGATTACAGATAAGTGGTGGTTATTTGGACTTTATCGATCGATAGACACTCACAATCTCATCAACTAATCTTTCATATTGTTGGGATGATCCTGAAAATTCCTCGAAATAGATATGACAAGCTCAGGAAACATTAAGAAGCATTTCATCCAATCAGCGTTTAATTAGAAGTTTTAATAGAAATATCACGATGATGAAAAGTCACATGTAGAGGTTCTGATTGACTGATTACTACACTACTACTTTGTTTAGTAGTATTCTAGAATATTCAGTAAAACCCAAGGACTTTTAAAATATTATAAAAACCCTATATTCTCTGTACATAAATGAACCTTTGGAGTAAAGTGTTTCTCGTATATTTCGCGCCTTTTCTCTGGTGTTCAAGTCGCTGTGTAGTTCTAGCTTGGGGGTTACGAGACTAGCTTAGGATTCGAATATGGCGTTCAATCAGCAAGACATATCACATATTCTCCTGGTGTTCAACGTGTTATACTATGATTACTCATTTAATAGTTTTGTCTATTTCGAACATTACTTACAATCTGTTCCTCTGTTAATTTACAATGAAAACTTTCAGTAGATATATAGAAGTGATTTACATGAAAAGAATTTTGTTGTAATGACAATTATTTCATGTTTTTTTTTTCACTAAAATTACAATATTACTAGTCTACTTATAAAATCCTGTGTGTTTTAATCATTTCATACATTTCAAGCATACAAAACATAACAGTTTTTTTATGAGTTGTTTTTTTTCTTTAATCATTAATTCTTTTCATAGTTAAAAGCGTGAGATAATTGAAGCTAGACCACCAAGAAAAACCTGGAAGCACTGGACGTCCGTTTCGTCCCTTTGTGGGACTCCTTGGATGCCGGCTCAGTGGTCTATTGGCTAAGTGCTCTGAGGCGAGACTGGTAGGTCCTGGTTTCGAATCCCGCGAGGCGAAGTCGTGGATGCGCACTTCTGAGGAGTCCCATAATAGAACGAAACGGCCGTCCAGTGCTTCCGGGCTTTTCTTGATGGTCTAGCTTCAATTGACTCATGCTTTCAACTATGAAAATACTAAATCTCCACAAAACCCCTTCTCAATTATTATTTACAGATTAATTAAAGCTGAAGATGCAAATTCAAATCTTCAAAATGAATTAAATTGTAAACTGAAAGAACTTAAAGAATTACAAATAGCTGTTGTTGAATTAGGTAGAGAAAATCAAATACTTCAGGTAATAATAATGATAATAATACAAATTATTACTTATAAATTTCAATAGGTTTTACGCGATCGTCTAACTAATCGTCAGTGGACTAAAGATGACGAAGCTGTAACATGCTTTGGTTGTGATCGTGAATTCTCTATTAGTACACGAAGGGTATGATTATTATTTTTTCATTTGTTCCAGCTAATATAAACAAAGTGGTTTTTCATTCTAATCATTAATTGTAATACACATTCTCTGATTACTCTTTAATTGAACTAATTTATATGTGTATAATAAGTTTTACTACTGAATAAAGTTTACTGATTTACTAAGTGGCTTTAGATGAATGGAAGCATTTAACTTCAGTTTCTTACTAGGTGATACTTGTCAGCAAGGCATATATGTAATCTCGAAGGAACTTATGATTTCTGTAAAAATGAGACCGATGTGGTGCTACATTCAAAAATGTTACTACTGAAGTATTTGGGTTGGTCAGCATTCCTACAGTTGAAGAACATATGGAACTCAAAATAATTGTCTGTTAGACAATATCAGAGTCAGAATCTTCAATACAAACAGTTCTAGTATACGGAGCTGAAACCTAGAAAACTACCACAACCATCATCAAAAATGTAAAAGTATTTATAAACACTTGTCTACGTGAGATACTGAATGTCCGTTGACCGATTACTATCAGCATCAAACTACTGTGAGAGAGGGCAAACCAGCTTCCATCTGAAGAGAAAATTAGAAAAAGACTATGGAAGTGGACAGGATACACATTGCGAAAATCATCAAACTGCATCACGAGACAAGCGCTAACTTGAAATGCTGAAGGGGAACGGAAAAGAGGAAGGTCTAAGAACACACTGCGTCGGCAATTGGAAGCAGACATTAGGTGAATGAATAACAACTGGAAACAAGTGGAAAGGATTTCCCAGGATAGAGTTGAATAGAGAATGCTGGTGGGTAGTCTATACTCCTCGGTGAGGTGTAACAGGCATAAGTGAAGTTCTTCAAGACAACAACCAGTTCAAGTAACTTGATATCATGTACACTGTGTTTTGAGTTTGTTAGACCAACATCAGGATGTTTTGGAATTATGTATCATTCTGGTTGTCGCTTTCCATCCAAACATATCAGTAGTCTCGAAGGAATCACTGTTCTCTTCCATGAATATTATACTCCAAAACTGAAACGATAGTTTGTAGCAGTCAAAATGTTTCTCTTCCCACCTTTACTTCATGAAACAAGATGCGATTCCATTAGATTACAACATGCTAAGTGGGATTCAAATGCTCTTCGATACCCTTATCTATATGTTTATTATGTAATGAAAACTGTAGTAAGAATCGAACTGGGCGAAAACCTTTGGAAATGATGCTAAAAATAGCCAATAATCACTGTTGTGAAAGCATCTTTTTCATATTTTCTGAATCTTCACATATTAAGTATTCAATGGTCAGGAATTTGTCTGATTGTTCTATACTTTATGCTGAAATCTTCCAATGTAAACTAACATATGATATTAAATGACTTGTGTACATTCACAGAGACAATGACTTAGAGGCTAAATCGTTCGATTTTCAATCAATAAGTCTGAAGTCTGAGTCCCACTCCGCCCGTTTTGGTTTGATCAGCTGGATGGTATCACAAGCCCTTACAGATACTATGTGGCTCAAGGCACAGTCTATAAATCTATACCTGATAAAGGAGTCACTTCTCTTCTTAAGAGTCACTAGTTGTTATCCAAATTGAATGAAATATTGTTCTTCTGAAGATTGTAGATGCTGTCATTCTTTCATTTGGATCAACTTGTAGATGTGAGAATTGATAAACCGATCCATAAACTCATTTGTCTTATTCTACACTTTAGTAATTTACAAGAATTTCTTCTGAAATTTATTATCGTTTATATGTTTAAATTATTAGAAAACTCACATTGTTCCAGTGAATATCTACAAGTTGGATTCATTTAATTTTAAGGTTTACTGGTAAATGGACATGTTGTTAGTTCTCTTTACACTTTCATCAGTACAACGAACCAACCAACTTGTCTATTATTAAACTATATCTTGTAATTCTTACCTACAACCATTCATCATGGAAATAATCTTTCATTTCTATGAACTATCGAATTCTTTCTTTGGTGTGATTTAATGTCTGTCATATACTGAACTTGATTTTCACATTTCGTTACTTATTAAGACTGGTCTTTATTGTTTAGTTAAAATAAAAGAATCGGGAGTAAATTATTTTGATTCAAAAATTTCGATACAATTTATCGCCATATGACCTATATATTTAAATATGTCTAATTCACTGTTTATAATAGTTTAAACATGTGAGCGCTAATGAGTAGTTCAGAAGTCTGTCAGTTAATCCATATGGTTGTAATTCCTGTATATTGAATCTAAATTCAGTGTATCTAAAGATTCTCTTTCCTGATTTAACTCTATGACTAGTAATTATTATGTCATAAATTTCCTTATCTTCAGTAGTTGGATGAATTTAGTAGCTAGTAACAAGGATATTTTTAAAATTCAGTTTCCCTACAAACGTATCTATGTCGTATTTAATAATTTGATTCTTCGCTTTAAACGAGATACTGTAAATAAAGGTATAAGGTATAAAGATCAGAAAATCTAATATCACTTGAAATCATTTCAAAATTCAATAAATGTTAGAGGTATACTTTTAGTTTTCGTATATTAAAGTTCAGGTTTGTGATAATCGACCAATTTGTTCCAGTCGTAATCATACTCTTCTTAACGATTGACCCAATCAGTTATGTTACACCAAAAAGATAAAAAAAATATTTAGAAAGCTTTACTCTGAAGGCCGAGTGAATATATTTATAGATCATCCACATAAACCCATACTGTTAGTTAATTAATTAAGTAAAATTCTCTATTGTATTTCATGTATCTAAAGTGATGTTGACACACTGTACTCTAGTTTACTTATAATATTTACCTGATAAGTAATTAAGAATGATGATATCCTTTTTCATTTTCCATATGTAGCATCATTGTAGAAATTGTGGCGGTATATTTTGCCAAAACTGTTCTTCTAATCGGGCTCCTACAACGTTTAGTAAAGATCCAGTTCGTGTATGCCAAATGTGTTATGAAGAGTTAACCAGTAATGTTATCAATTAATCACTTATGAATATTAACTTTCTATGAAGCTAAATGAGTAAATTATTTCTATGTATATAAGTGGGGTTTTTTTCCTAATAAGCATACTACTCCTACTATATATGAATGGCTTTGTGTGTATTTCGCCGTTACGTTCTATATTATTAAAATACACTTTTGATTTTCGTGTCATTTACATTTTTCATGTATTACGAATACTACTATTCATTTCTGTTTATTTTACAAATCTCGTGACTGACTTTACGTATACTTTCATACTTAACCAAATATTTCTTTCATTGTAGTCTGTATTTTCGATATATTGAAGAGTATATATATAATTCAATTCTTTATTCAAATTTTGATTCTCCCGCTCGCATTGGCGTTTCTGCTCTATTTTGCTTGGTATGACTGTGGCTTGGTGATCTGTACTATTCAACAATAAACTGTGGTTGGCACTTCGTGTTGCCTTCTGAATTCGTAAACCGTTGGGATTTATTTTATAACGATTATCAGGGCTGGTGATATGCAAAGCCTGTAGTTAGTCTACCTCGATCGTGGTTCTTAGTGAAACAAAATTGTGTCGAATAATTAAATAGAACTTGAAATGGCATTTTGTCATGAATTGTTTCTGAAAACCATTTATTGAAAGGGAATTATGTAATAATCGGCCAGTGAAAAGTATTAAAATGTAGTGTATTATCGATTGGTATTTATACCATGGTGGTTTTCGCATTATTTTTAATACGAAGAGTTTTTTTATTACATCTTAAAACGCCTTTCATCACTTTCCGTCCAATGAATTAGAGGAAGCTATTGGTAATTATTTTTTTAAAGTAGTATGAAAGTTGATAATTATTTTAATAGTTACTTTATCTCCAAGCCGTTGACGTTGTTCGTTTACCTAGCACTAGTCATGTCGTCTGTTGTTCCCAATTAATGGATGTAATGTGGTCAATTTTATGGCATCATTTTTCTGTTTTATCCTCTGTATGTCGCCTGCAGTATTTACTGCCAACGGTTCAGCCATGTGACAGCATTCATTTAATGGCCACCTTTTAAGCTGTACGATTTTGCCTTGATTCAACAATCGAATATTCATGCACAAGTATTTTATCATTTCGTCCATGCTGTAAAAATTTTTATAACCCTCCAAAGAAAGTGGTTAAAAGAGCTTAACTCAATAAATTACGCAGTATTCGTAACGATTTTACCTGCAAAATATATATATGTATGATATTCCATACATAGTTCCAAGAAGTTACCCACAATTTTTTTTCTTACGATATAACAGTATCCCCTTTTGGTTGAACTTCATTTCTGTTCAAAATGAAAGCTTAGTTTGTTTCGAAATAAGGTTCATCTTGGAGCTAATTCACGTTCTTGATTAATGATAGGCATACATGTTGTTTTGTTTCCTCAGCAACCGGAATTTACAAAATCTTATTTACCATGAAACAAGTGATCTAGAAATGACAGTCAGAGTTGTTTCCAAGTTTATAACAGAATAGGTTTTCACGAAAAGCCGAGACTTCTCTTTCTAAAATTAGTGGATGTTGTAATTATCTCTTTTAGTTGAGAGTTTAATAGTTTGAAGACTAAGTCCGGAGAAGATTTAGTACACTTTCACTTCCTTTGGAGTGCATTTCATGATGTTACTTAGTCAGTCAGCTACAACGTGGGACCAGGCACATATATTACATCGGTCTAAGTGGCCACACCTCATTGGCACAACAAGATGAACACCGAATTCATAGTAGTTAGTTTATTCGTAGTAATATTTAAAAGGAAGATCGTATACAAGGATATAGTGCAGGAAGAAAGACAAATATGAAGCAATTTTAATCTCATAGTTTAAGGGAAGACAGAAAGTGTATGCACCCGTAGGTGTGATCGATTCTGAACCATGTCACCTGGAGTCTCCAACCATTGGTTACGATAGTAACGCGGACCCCAACTATTTAGTTTGCATCTACCAACATGGCTCAGACTAAATGTTAGTGACTTCAAGTACTGATGCCATGTTTTGGTTTGGCCGCCCCTAACTCTCTTCCAACCATCTTCAATATTAGTCAGCATAGCGCGTCGTGGTAATCGGTGTTCAAGGCCCAACCATCTCGGTTGATGAAGATTCGTGGCCTCATCAACTAATTTACCATCATTCCCTAACACCCCGTAATACTCTAAGAATGGTGGATATGTGATCGATACAACCACGACCAGGTCTGAAGCCAGCCTGATTTTCTCGTGTTTGCAGTTCACGAGTCTTAGCGAGGCGCCCGATAATTATTGAGGCATGTATTTTAGATGCTATGTTAGTCAGACCTATCCCTCTATGGTTATCTGTGATGTTTAAATAAATCAATGACTTCTTCGTATTGATGACTGTTGTAATTTTGAATTCCAAATACAATACATTCATTCGAGTTCATCTGATACTTCTTGATTAAATTGCGTTATTCCTGGGATTACTAGTTTATACTACAATTCAAATACTTCTAATTATCATATTGGCGTCGCGACTGAGCCTGTGATGAAACGGTTAAATATAAATTCAGATTTTAATGATTTTGAGGAGTACATGGAAAGGTTCGAAATCTGGGCTATGACCAAGGAAGATGATGAGGATTTTAATATTGTGGCCCATTTCCTTACATTCATCGGGAAAGAAGCATACAGCCTTATAAAGATTTTGGCACTTCCAGACAAACCGATTTCACTCCCCTATGCAACTCTCAAGCAACTTCTGTTGGATCATGTAAAGTATACAAATTCCGAATGCGGTAAGAAAGGAAAATCCGATAAAATGACTCGTCAGAACATCAGGAATTCCACTTATTCAAACAGTCGTCGTAGTTCGATGCGTAATCAAATTTATTCAGATAATACTTCATTGAGTTGTGAAACAGTCCATGATGATTAGCACAAGTTTAGTAAATGCATGTTCTGCGGCAAGTTTCACCCATGTAATTCATGTATATTTCGTAATTCTAAATGCTTTAAATGTGGTATAACTGGACATATTCAGTCAGTTTGTAATACCATGGTTCATTTCGCTGAAAGTAATGCTAAGATGGATGCTTCTAATGATCAGTTATCTTTATTTAGAAGTGGTATAACGTCACATAGCAGTCCAGAGTTAACTGAAACTCAGAATCATTGTGAGACAAAAAATTTTAACCAACAAACTTATCGGATTTCTCATGATATTGAAACAGATATGGTTTGTCGTAATAATTCACATACTTCTGATGTAATTTCTTACAACTCTGAGAATAGAATGTTAAATGAGTCAAATCATGATCAAAAACCAAATTCAGTCATGGTAGATGTTGAATTCCCTGATGATCCATTACCTAATGAAACTCTTAATCAATTTGAGGAAAATATTTCAGAAGAATCGAATTCTGATATCATATCAAGTGTCAGTGGTCCTCATAATGAATTTATCTCTAATGATATTCCTCATGAATGTGAAAAATATGTTTCTTATGAGTTGAATTCTAGTCATATTTCTGATGTTATTGTGTCATATGTTGGATACTCTCACGAACAATGCATGTTGAATAGAATCCCTAGTCAGGGGTATAATGATACAGAGGGGATAGCAAAATTTTCCGAAGCAACCAGAGAACCAGTTTGCCCAGAAGTGAAGTTTGCACAGACAGAAAATCCAAATCAAGTCCAAGATTATCCTAATGAATATGAGGCAGATGAATGTTTTCTATCCGATTGTTTCGCAGGTAAATCAAGCCTAATTGAATCACGTGTGTTAATTACATATATCAATGTATATCCATCTGTGTATTCTAATATGAATAACAAAAAGAATATGTATCATGATTTTTATTCAAGTCAAAGTCACATGATGGAATACCTCAAGTTATATATCAGTGTTTATCCCCAAATACTCACATACAGTAGTCGGTGCATAAGATTTGAGATAATGCAAATTGGGAACGTCATATTGGCTTAAACATTGCGAATCAAGGACCCAACATTATTTCGTGGGGAGGATATTGTTGGAAAGTCCATGATGCAAATTCTAAATATCAATGGTTTCACTACACAACCGACATGCTGATTGTATACAATTCTAGAACCCAGGTGAGTCTGTTCCCATTTCGGTTGTTAATTCTAATACTAATGAGTGCATTCTAGATAATACAGAGTGTACATTCAATACACCATCGGACAGATGTAGGATGAACTTAAGAAGAAGACAAACAATCGATTACAGACACTTACACTTCAATTCGAGCTGTGGCGGATGTGATATTTAAATAAATCAATGACTTCTTCGTATTGATGACTGTTGTAATTTTGAATTCCAAATACAATACATTCGTTCGAGTTCATCTGATACTTCTTGATTAAATTGCGTTATTCCTGGGATTACTAGTTTATACTACAATTCAAATACTTCTAATTATCATAATATCACAGGATGATTTTGGCCCCTTCTTATATATTGGGACCAGTCGGATGAAATTACGTCCAACTGCCAGATTTTAGCCAGAATATTAGTCAACCTAGTCGCTAAAATTAGACCACCATATTTAAAGACCTCTGGAGACAATCCATCTGGACCAGCTTCTCTTCCTCTTTTCAGATTATCTATAGCCTTCTTAACTTCAGCTAGAGTTGAGGGACCTACTTCAATGTTCCATTCAGACTGTTTGGGAATGGTGGGTAACAGTAGAGTAGGTGAAGGCCAGCTAAACTGTTCTCTAAAGTGTTCCGCCTACCGTTCTGAGCTGAAAGCAGATAAGAGTCTCGTCCTTTTTCGAGATTGTCTCGCTTACAATTGCCTTCTTAGTTCAGGTTTCTTTTATTAGTCTGAAGAGTTGTTTGGTGTCACCTCCAGCCACTGTCTTATTGTGATGTTTAAATAAATCAATGACTTCTTCGTATTGATGACTGTTGTAATTTTGAATTCCAAATACAATACATTCGTTCGAGTTCATCTGATACTTCTTGATTAAATTGCGTTATTCCTGGGATTACTAGTTCATACTACA